GGAGGGGGGGGGGGTGCGATGCCCCAGGCACCCTGATGTCCCAGGGACCCCCAGGAGCTCCCACCGCTCCGGCACGAGGGTTGCCAAGTCAGGCAAGGCTTCACCGAAGCCTGATGCACTGCTCGTGCCTCTACGAGGCAGGGAAATCCATGGAAATTCATTGATGCTCAGCTTCCAGAGGAGGGTCCTGAGCTGTTTCAGCTGCCCGTGAAAGCAGGATTTTAAAACATCGAGAAGGGCAAATGCCTGAGAGAAGCGAGAGGGCTCCGGGCAGCAGCGTCCACGCGCGGTGCTGCGGGTGCTGCGGGGCACGGGCAGGGGACGCCGCCTGCGCAAGGCTGCAGGGTTTAGGAAAAGTGCAACGCGTGAGTATATCCAAAAGGATTTATCAATCCTTGTACCCTTGCCGGGCTTTTTGCTGTCTTACCTAACCCCTGTCATGTAATTTAATTAAGTTTGTTTCATTTATTTTTTTTTTTTTAAATATGCATGCGGGACTAGTAAACTTAATTAAAAAGAAACATTGCTAAGCAGCCTGATACAGCTGTAATTTGATTTAATGTACTGGATGATACCAACATCATAAATGTAAACCGATACGCCTTTTTTTTTAAAAAAAAAAAAAAAAGATCTAAATGGAATTTAAAATACTTCTTCGTTTGCAGCGGGCTCTTTGAGCTGGGGTTAATTGCGAAGGTTTTCTTCCTCCCGTTCTGTCGCCGCAGGGCTTTTTTCAAGTGGGGCAAGAAATATTTCATCCTCAGACCAATTACTGCTGGATCACCTGCCCCATGCCCTGCACACGAGCCAGGTTTCCATACCTTTGTTCATGTAACGCAAAGGCCTGACTGCCTAGAAATCGGTGCCAGAGCTCCCGCTGATTCCAAAGGTACCGGGACGTTAGGGTTTGTTTCTGGAGGAATCCCCTGGATTTGGGGGGAGAAGCTTCCACCTGGCAAAGAGGTGGGAGCTGTCGTCAGGCCGGGTTTATAATGCTGTTGTAAACGTGTTGCGTGTAATGCAATGTGATATCAGACGTGGCGTTGCATGAGGAGCCTTGGATTCACCTCTTTTTCTGATGCTTTTTGCTCCTTAAATTGAAACAAATCCATCTTCCCGCAGCCAGCAGCCCTCAGAAACAGGCGCTGCATTTGGGGGATGCTTCAGCCAGTTTGCGTATCCCTCCCATGAGGTCCAGGTATCCTCGATCGCCCCCATCGCATCCTTCCTAAATCTCCCCGCTGGGGTCGGGCCGTGGCCAGGGATTCACACTCTAGGAGAGAAAAAGTGCTCGGGAATTCTGAGAACTCTCCCCAGCGTCGTGCCTGGCACCGCCGGGGCTGGGTCCCGGTTTCCTTTGCTGCCTCTAAGCCTCCACCGAAGGATGGACCTGGCTTAAGGGCTGAGCCCGACCGCCACCGACTTCCCTACCCGCCTCCCAGCCGCTTGCAAAACTCTTTGCTAATTCAACGTGAAAGCAAAAGGCTTTCTGCTTTTTTTTTTTCCCCAGCAGCCAAGCCGCTTTGCACGAGCTGCTGGTTTTAACCTTTTCTCTGAATTATTTGCAGAAACATTGGGGACGGGATGGGATGGGAGGTGGCCAGGTGATGGGAACCACAACTTCACCTTGCAGAGCTGAGGGCCCCCCCTCCCTTAACGAATCACTGGAACCAGTTATCGCCTTTGCCGTCTGCACCTTTCCAGAGCCGGACAAACCCGTGGGTGCCAGGGCTGCAGCAGTGCACGCTTTGCACAAACTGCAAGCAGCCCGGAACCAACCGAAGGCAAATAATTGAAGAGATG